ATAATATCGAGGATAGTTTTGACGGTTGGTGAATGAATTAGAACCAAACATCCTGAGGAGGGAGGTTGAATGGGCCTTAAGAAGCATTGCTAACAACAAGGCAGCAGGAGACGACGGGATCCCAGCTGAAATGTTTAAAATCTTGAAAGATGATGCTGTCAAGGTGATGCATGCCATATGCCAGAAAATATGGAAAACACAAGAATGGCCATCAGACTGGAAAAAATCAACTTATATCCCATACCAAAAAAGGGAAATGCGAAAGACTGCTCAAACTTCCGTACAGTGGCCCTTATTTCTCATGCCAGTAAGGTAATGCTCAAGATCCTGCAAGGAAGACTCCAGCAATACATGGAGAGAGAGTTGCCAGATGTTCAAGCTGGGTTTAGAAAAGGCAGAGGAACGAGAGACCAGATTGCCAATATCCGCTGGATAATGGAGAAAGGCAGGGAGTTTCAGAAAAACATCTCTTTCTGCTTCATTGACTACTCTAAAGCCTTTGACTGTGTGGATAATAAATTGTGGCAAGTTCTTGGTGGGATGGGCATACCAAATCTGTCTCTCTCCTGAGGAATCTGTACAAGGACCAAGTAGCAACAGTCAGAACTGACCATGGAACAACAGACTGGTTCAAGATTGGGAAAGGCGTACGGCCAGGCTGCATCCTCTCACCCAACCTTTTTAACTTGTATGCAGAACACATCATGCGATGTGCGGGGCTGGATGAATGCAAAGCTGGGGTGAAAATTGCTGGAAGAAACATTAACAACCTCAGATATGCAGATGACACCACTCTGATGGCCGAAAGCGAGGAGGAGCTGAGGAGCCTTCTAATCAAGGTGAAAGAAGAAAGCGCAAAAGCCGGGTTGCAGCTAAACGTCAAAAAAACCAAGATTATGGCAACAAGAATGGAAAATAGAGGGAGAAACCGTGGAGGCCGTGACAGACTTTGTATTTCTAAGATTACTGCAGATGCAGACTGTAGCCAGGAAATCAGAAGACGCTTACTTCTTGGGAGGAGAGCAATGTCCAGTCTTGATAAAATAGTGAAGAGTAGAGACATCAGACTGGCAACAAAGATCCGCCTAGTCAAAGCCATGGTATTCCCTGTAGTAACCTACGGATGTGAGAGCTGGACCTTAGGGAAGGCTGAGCGAAGGAAGATCGATGCTTTTGAGCTGGGGTGGAGGAAAGTGCTGAGAGTGCCTTGGACTGCGAGAAGATCCAACCAGTCCATCCTCCAGGAAATAAAGCCCGACTGCTCACTGGAGGGAAAGATACTAGAGACAAAGTTGAAGTACTTTGGCCACATCATGAGGAGACAGGAAAGCCTAGAGAAGACAATTATGCTGGGGAAAGTGGAAGGCAAAAGGAAGAGGGGCCCACCCAAGGGCAAGATGGATGGATGGCATCCTTGAAGTGACTGGACTGACCTTGAGGGAGCTGGGGGTGGTAACGGCCGACAGGGAGCTCTGGCGTGGGCTGGTCCATGAGGTCACGAAGAGTCGGAGACGACTGAACGAATGAACAACAATGCCAATACACAAAAAGCATATATAGCAGAGTTTCAGAAATGTTCTTTCAGTTGCCCAAAAACATCTTGTTGTTCATTCATTCAGTCACTTCCAACTCTTTGTGACCTCATGGACCAGCCCATGCCAGAGCTCCCTGTCAGCCGTCACCACCCCCAGCTCCTTCAAGGTCAAGCCAGTCACTTCAAGGATGCCAAAACATATACTCTCCCTTAAAAACATCTTGGTTTAAATCATGCTCTCAAGAGACAAAAAATAAGTAGACTTCATTAAAAGTAACATAGTTGGTTTACTCACAAACTTTGTGTATTTAGCATATAGGTACTTTGCATATCAATCCAGGTACAGATAGGATTTGAAGTAGTTTCTCTGTCCAGATAACACAGGGCATCATTTTTATAATCAACAGAGTAAAATCCAAAAAATCTCTCCAGTCTGTGAGTCTAATAGAGTCTCTGTCTTCCTAAAGCATTCTGTTTCAACTGACTTCTAAAATAATACTACTTCTACTGACTTCTAAACAGTACTCTTTCTACTGAAGTCTCTACATTGAAAGTCCAATGGCTTCTGACCTCTAAAATGGAGTCTGAGTCTGAAAAAGTCCCAGATCTGGTCACGTGGTCTGCAGTCCCTCCCACAACAAAGAGTTAAGGAAAACTGCATACCAATGCAAACATATACAATACAGCAAGCAATCTGAATTATATACATAACAACTTGTATAGGAGGCTTGTAGAAGGTTGCTATTTCCAAGAGGATTTCCTTCTCCACCGAGAAAACTCACTGGGTGACTTTACATGGGCCACACTCTCTTGGCCCCAGAAAACTCAATAATAGGTTGCCTTAGGGTTGCCATAAGTCAGGTATTATTTGATTGCACACAGCAGCAACAAACTGAGCTTCTGTCATCTCGACTCACTTCATGATTGTTGCCAGGTTCACTGATTCTGCCACAATGATAATCTTGCCTGAACCCACCTTGAATGCCCAGACACACTTCTGGGTAGGTGGGTGGGTGGGGTGGGGGGACAATTTCTGGAACATGTGGAATTAAAACCATGGATATAGAGTTGGTGGATCAGTGGCTGTACTGTATTTTAACATAGCAGAAGAAAGGGGGGGAAATACGAGGGTTGAATGAAAAGTAATGCCTCCACCTTGGTCACTAGGGTTTGGGTGTGAATATTTTAATAAATCAAATACAGAAACAATCCTTAGAATGTGCTCTTTAACTACCACTATTCACTTTTCTACATAATCACCAGACAATTGGATACATTTCTGCCAATGATTAACAAGTTTTCTGAAGCCGTCACAGAAGAAGTCAACACTCTGTTTCTGCAACCAGCATCTCACAGTTCTCTCATCCTGGGTACCCATCGTGCACAGATCTTCTGATAGCCAAGCAAAGCAATAATGTGACCCACACATTCTTGTGAAATGCCGATTATGCTTGAAATTTCTCTCTGAGTGATACGACGATCATCCTGAATCTGTCAACCTTTTGCTTGTGAAACTCGGTGATTGCTGTCATAAGACATCCAACTCTTTGTTTGTCACGCAAGTCAGATGTTCCCACCTCAACATCTTTAAATTTATTCACCCAACGATGCAGTACTCACATCAACACAATCACCATAAACAGCTTGTATTCTCTGATGAATCTCCTTTGGGGTGACATCTTCTGTTCTCAAGAATTCAATGACTGCACATTGCTTAAGTCGCATTGACCGACCGTCTGCACAGGGTTCCATACTTTGCACTTTAGCAACAAAACTGTTCAATGCTAAGGCTTCCTGCCAAAATGGAACTGTAGAGGAGAGTCTCCTGAACAAGCCAGTACCTGCTACATACCAGTACTGCCATCTGTTGAGGAGTTGGTGGAGGCATTACTTTTCATTCAACCCTCGTATAATCGTAATCAGGAACTTTTTAATCAGGTTGGATGTGCCCTGTGATTGTGGTGCAGCTTATAAAGGATTGGACTTATGGGAATGTGTAGCAATATGTTCTACCTGGATGCCAGGCATGGGGAAACTCTGTCCCTCCAAGTGTTTTGGACTTCAACTCCCACAATTCCTAACAGCTTACTGGCTGTTAGGAATTGTAGGAGTTGAAGTCCAAAACACCAGGAGGACCGAAACATTGCCCATGCCTGAGTGAGGTGGTTACAGGGTCTCACTGTGGTAACCTTGGGACATCGCTGCCATCTTGCATTTAAGCTGCTCAAAAGTCTAAAGAGAAAGCTATCCTCATCTCATTATACAACCATAACAATATGCTGAATGGGTTGTTGTAGGTTTTTTCGGGCTATATGGCCATGGTCTAGAGGCATTCTCTCCTGTCGTTTCGCCTGCATCTATGGCAAGCATCCTCAGAGGTAGTGAGGTCTGGATTTGCCATAGATGCAGGCGAAACGTCAGGAGAGAATGCCTCTAGACCATGGCCATATAGCCCAAAAAAACCTACAACAACCCAGTGATTCTGGCCATGAAAGCCTTCGACAATACAATATGCTGAACAATCGTTTCCTCCTCTAATCCGCAGCAGATAAATGTCAGAATGAGAAGAACTGTGTCAAGGGCGCCTTTGGCATCTCGGCCACCACAGGATCCAAGAAACTCAGGAGGAGAAGCACAGCTTTCCATCACAAGGTGCCCCGTGGGTGCTCTCTGGGTTGGTGAGAGGGAAGAAGGGGTGCAAAGGCCTGTTGTGTGTATGTAGGGAAGCACTTAAAAGATAGGAATGCTAGCTCTACTCTGTGCTCAAGTATTTTCCATCTCCAGCAACTCTCCCATCACCAGCCAGACTGATGATTGAGGAATGCATCACTGTGTCATCCAGACTGTAAGGCTTAGCAATTTATAATTTGTATTAGACAGACAATAAAGTCTGCTCCACTTGAATTCGTCACTGTGATCCTCTGTGTAGCCTGCAAACCATGGCTGTTGTTGCTTGTTGTACAACGGGCTTTGACTTATGGCAGCCTATGAACTCAAGACCTCCAAGTCCACTGCCCAGGTCTTGCAGACTCTGGCCCTCTCTACACTGCCATATAATCCAGTTTATATATAAAAAATTGACAGGTGACTTGAAGAACTCTCTGCCCCGGAGTGTGGTGGGTGTCCCTTCTTTGGAGGCTTTTAAACAGAGGCTGGATGGCTATCTGTCGGGGGTGCTTTGAATGCGATTTTCCTGCTTCTTGGCAGGGGGTAGGACTGGATGGCCCATGAGGTCTCTTCCAACTCTATGATTCTATGATTTTATGCACTACACTGCCATATATCCCCAGATTATCTCTTATCCCTGATTATCTGGTCGTATAGACTCATATAATTCAGTTCAAAGCAGAAAATCTGGGATCAGATCCTGGGATATAAAACAGTGTAGATAGGGGCCCTCAAACTTTTTAAACAGAGGGCCAGGTCACAGTCCCTCAAACTGTTGGATGGCTGGATTAATTTCTATGCACACCAAACATATCTTATTTGTAGTGCAAATAACACTTAAAAACAATACAATAATTAAAGCGAAGAACAATTTTAACAAATATAAACTTATTAGTATTTCAATGGGAAGTGTGGGCCTGCTTTTGGCTGATGAGATAGGATTGTTGTTGTTGTGTGCTTTCAAGTCATTTCAGACATAGGTTGACCCTGAGCGAGGGCTGGGTAAATGACCTTGAAGGGCCGTATCCAGCCTTCGGGCCTTAGTTTGAGGACCCCTGGTGTAGATTGAGCCTGGATCCAGCCTTATATACACACGACTGGAGTAACAGAGTTGTGGATCTCATCTGATCTTGGAAGCTAAGCAGGGTTAGCCCTGGTTAGTCCCTCAAAGGAAAGACCACCAATGGATCCCAGGCTATATTTCAGAGGAGGGAACTGGCATAAACCACCTCTGTGTATTCATCAGGAATAGGAATGCATACCATGCCATTTCCACCATTTTTAGTGTTTTTCCCCTGCAAAACTAACACTTGTCCAGTGTCATACTTTTGTCTCCTGTGGGCCTCCATTGATGCTCAAGTCCCATTATATGCAATAATGTGGTGAAATGGCATTCCTTATGTAAAAATGGCAAAATCAAGGTTTGTTTTTTTGGAATTTAAAATCAAATATTTTGAAGTTGTGAAGGGTTGACTCCATGGATGCAGAATCCATGGGTACGGAGGGCTGACTATATTTTGTGCAATTTGTATTTTTGTTTTGTAACTTGTTGTTCGGGCTTGGCCCCATGTAAGCCGCTCCGAGTCCCCGTTGGGGGAGATGGCGGTGAGGTATAAATAAAGATTATTATTATTATTATTATTATTATTATTATTATTATTATTATCTCTTAATTTCCTCTTTAAAGATTTCCCAAATGTCATGCTTTATCTGAACATTACATGGGAATTGGAAAAAAATATGCTGGAGGATGGAGAATAAATGCACAACAATTATTTTGGGAATCCAGGTGGCCTCCCTGTCCATTCACTAGGAGTTGTCTGTAGACACCAATAGAAACTTTAATCGAGGAGTAATACAGCCACACTTTGCCCAATATTGCAACAAAGCAAAAGGAGGCATTGATTTGCACTCAGGTTGGTTACGGAGACATAAGGATCATGAATAGATTACTCAAGTGAAGAGAGAACTGATTCCCAAATGTCACAACAGTGTTACAACATGGTACACCATTGGGAGAGCCAAACATTACGTGATAACAAGGCAAACATGGAACTCACCCATGGTAATTGTGGTATAACAACGAAAAACCTCAAAGTCTCCTGCAATTCATCTATGGCCTATTCCCAGAGAGGGAATTAGAGGTCAGCAGAAATGTGCAAAGGTTACAACTCTTTCTGCGTGCATGGCTATTCATTCTCTTGAGTGGGGCAGGTGAACAACAGGAAACCAAAGGAAGACCCAAATAGGAAAGCTCCAGACACTGGTAATTATTCCTTTTTCTAGGACATACCGGTAAGTTTCAATGGTCGCCTAAAGTTTGTGACCCTCATTAAGTCAGTAAGGGACTTAAGATATTGATAAATGGATGGATATATGTGGGAAATGGAATTACCGTATATACTTGAGTATAAGCCGACCCGAATATAAACTGAGACACCTTATTTTACCACAAAAAACTGTGATTGACTTGAGCATAATCTGAGGGTGGGAAATGCAGCAGCTACTAGTTAATTTCAAAATAAAAATAGATATCCATAAAATTACATTAATTGAGTTTAAATCTTTTTGAATATTTACATAAAACTGTAATTTAAGATAAGACTGCCCAGTTCTGATTAAACCATTATTCTAACCTTCTTCAATGGAAATGTGCTTATGTATCCTTTCAATAATAATAGAGTAAAATAATAAATGTAATAATAATAGAGTAAAATGATAAATGTAATAATAATCAATAGAATAAAATAATAAATGTAACAACAACAGAATAAAATAATAAATAACCTTGACTTGAGTATAAGCCGAGGGGGACTTTTTCAGTCAAAAAAAGGGTTGAAAAACTACTTGAGTATATATGGTAAGTAATTTTGTATCATCCATATTCAGCCAAAGGCTGCAATGACATCTATACATATAAAAGGCAAAATATTTATTTATTTATTTATTTATTTCTTGCACTTATAGACCGCCACTCTCAGCCCAGGGGCGACTCGTGGCGGTGTACAACAACATAGAAAAGACAGCTTACAATAAATCAACAATACACAACGTTCTACTACTACAAACACTACTATACTAAAAATCCGCTTCGTCAAATCATAGGGTCAATCCATCTCATAATCACAGTCCATTCCGGTCGTCAATATGTATGTATGTATGTGTGAAATATGTATGCTGGTTAGTTTGTTCCACAATGGCTCATATATGGCTTGATCTGGATCAAACTTGGCACGCATACCCTTGAGGGGTTTCAACTAAAAAAAAAAAAACCCACCCCTTTCAGGACCAGACCTAAGAGAAGGAAAAGGAACAAAGCAGATTAGTTGTTACTAGGTGAAGTGGCCCTTTGCCCTATGCCTGGGAAAGAAAAGGAGTGAGCAAATTGACTGCTAATAGGTGACATGCATATGAGAGGGAGGGAGGAGGGAGGAAGAAAACAAGGGAGGAAAAAAGAAGGGAAAGAAAGGAAGAGATAAGGAAGGAAGGAATCAAAGGAAGAAAGGAAAGGGAAAAGGTATGAGAGGAAGAAAGGAATGGAAGGAAGGAAGAGAAAGAAAGGGGGAAAAGAAGAAGAAGGGGGAAGGTGTATGAGGGAAAGCAAGGGAAGAAAGAAGGAAAGAAAAGAGAGAGGAAGACAGTATATGAGAGAAATGGAGGAAGGAAAAAGAGCCACAAAGGAAATGCATGCCTTTTGTTCATTTGGCCGATGATGTGGTTATGGATATGGATATGGATATGGATATGGATATGGATATATATATATATCCCCCAGTTACTACATAAAGGAGTCAGCAAAACAAACATTACACATTGAACTTGAGGAAATGATAAGATCAAGCAAAGTTGATCAAGACAAGTCAGAGAGAGAAAAATGTACATTTCCCATTGTCCGAATACCATGAAACGGCTTTAGGTAATCAGGATAAGACAACAGTATAAAACCTGTGTTCTGGGATCAGCTGTAGTCTCTCCTATGTAGCTAGGCTAGGCACCTATACATGTGTTAATTTTGTTATTCTTTCTGCTTTTCTGCAAGCCTGAATAAACCTTCTCTTGATCCAAGCAACATCTGGTTGTTTTGCTTTGAGGATTTTGTTCATCCCTGGCCTGAGGGAAGAGTCTTGGTGTCCCTCGTTGGGCACGAAGGATGCTCAGCTGTGTTTTATGAGGCCTTCTAAGCTGTCCAGCAGGTGGTCAAGTGAGGAGTGACCATTGTCCCCAATCCAATGGTTGATAGTGGCAAGGCAAGGCAAGGCATCGGCCAGCATCTCCCTCTTGTGGACATGCCCTACTCACCCCCCATACATGTAACTGGGCCCCATACATGTAACATGCACAGTTCACTCTCTGAATCAAGACAACTGTGAAGAAAGGAAGGGACCATTGTGCTTCTCCTTGAACTTGTATTTCTGCCTAGTTCCAAGCAACATCTGGTCGTTTTGTCTAGAATCATAGAATAATAAAGTTGGAAGAGACCACATGGGCCATCTAGACAACCCCTTCCTATGCAGGAAAAGCACAATCCAAGCCCTCCTTACAGGTGGCCATCCAATCTCTATTTAAAAGCTTCCAAGAAAGGAGCTTCCACCACACTCTAAGGCAGAGAGTTCCACTGCTGAACAGCTCTTACAGTCAGGAAGTTCTTCCAAATGTTCAAGTGGAATCTCCTGTAATTTGAACCCATTGCTTTATGACATCCTTTCACATATTTATACATGGCTATCATGTCTCCTCTTAACTTTCTCTTCTGCAGGCTAAACATGCCCAGTTCTTTAATATGCTCCTCACAGGGATTCATGGTCTCCAGACCTTTGAGCATTTTAGTTACTCTTTTAGTTGTCCTCTTCTGGACACTTTCCAGCCTATCAATATATCTTCTAAACTGTGGTGACCAGAATTGGACACAGTATTCCAGGGAAGGTCTAACCAAAGAAACTATGACTTACCTTGATCTAGACACTATACTCTTTTTGATG